AACAATTTGAATGGCTTTTACATGTTATTCAATATGTAAGTAGATATTTGGCTGCTAATTCATATATGAAGAAATAAAACTATCGAGTATAAAACTATTTTTTTTTGTATCAGTTACTCTTTTTTCTTTATTTTTATTTTACTTTTAGGCATTCGATGAATTAAGAAAAAAACGCATTAAATAGTGTTCAATATGTTGAATTTTATATTCCTAGTTGTCATATTGGTTTAAACGAACAAATTCGTATTGGCAAAAATCTTGTACCTTTTCTTAGTACTTATATGCCTCATTTATGAACATTACGTCTTTGGCGATCAGATGATTTTCCATGGACATCTAGTATGTAAATTTTATATGAATATTCACCATCAAATATCATAATCAGACCCATAAAACAATATGTTCAAAATAATAAGGTTCTTGGTCGATAAATGTTCCAATTTTGAGTCCTTTAAATCTATCGAAAATATATTCCGAGAAAGCGATTTAAATAAAACTATTTACAATTCACTTTTCTTGAATAGTTGATCGAAATATGTGTTATTATTCTTGTACCACAATCATCTTTTCCATAGTCGTGAAAAGACAGTACTTGAAATTTCATTTTGGTTCTTTCTAACTTCTGATTCTACTTTTTGAACATAAAAAGATAATGATCCTAACATTCTTGTTTTAATTTGAGATTGCGCATAAATCATCTGTGATAACCAACTGATTTGCATAGTGAAGCATGAAATTAGATATTTAAAAATCTTTCTAAGACCTCAAAACTGTTACTCTGACTCTACTGAACTATTCAAAAGTTATTTGTTCCTAAAGTAAATTTTCTATTGATCTCTTATTTTTTCAAAATTTCAACCAGATTTTGAACCACAATATTTATACAAATAGAATTTTTTTTCTGGTTTTTATTTAGATGAACACATGAACATTTTTGAACAAGATCCTTGTCAGTTAATGGAACAATTGAAAGAATTTGCTTTTCTTGATATTCATGGTGAAATTCATCAAGAAAAAGTTGAATCTTATCGTTCTATGGTTCAAAAATCTTTTCCGAAAAGTCAAATCGATATTGAAATATCGAGATTTCGTCTTTGACTTTAATCCTATGACAAAATTGTAAAATCATCATTGTTACCAAATGTTTTGTTTATTTCTTTCAATAAATAATAAATTATAAAAATATTTGAAGTAGTTCAAAATGAAGGATGTGTTTTTTTGTTAGATAATCGACATTTCGACAAGTGCTCCTGGTATATATTCTCCTCCAACTTGTGAATATGAAATGCCTTCGAAGACTTTTCTTGATACATTTCAGTTAAGTTTAATAAGGTCTTGATGGTCAAGATTTCAATTCGGATTTCCAGTACCAATCTATTTTAAAAACGAGATCATATTCGAAATAAATGAAAACATTAATCTATAAACTTAGACTTATTTAATAATGTTGCATCATTTCAATTCGTTCAGTTATTTCTGAGAATGATTCACTCAATCTATATATTGGTCAACATTATCTTGACCGTAGTTATACAGTGTTCTTGTTATTGAATTAAAGAAAGTTGGATGTTGACAGGATCTATGCCATTGATTATATTGATATTTCCATAAACCAGAAACAAAAATATTTGCTTGTCCTAATTGAGAAGTACATGTAGTTCTTGCGACGTTCTGTGACCACCGAATGACAATCATTATAACGTCTCGACTTCTTATTCCTATATTTTGATCCCTATTCGCTATCTTTGATAACTTTGAATATTGAAAATTCTTTTTAAATTCATCTGTCTTCTTATTCATCTTCATATTAGTTAATCCAATACCAAAATTGAGATCGTTCGAATATTGAGTTAATTCACAATTTAAATCTTGAAATTTTTTCTCATAGTTTTTATTATTTAAAACACATTTATATTCTTTTTTTTTCAGAAAGATCTGTCCAATGTTTCATGCTTAAATTGATGGTACTCAAACCGAACTATGCAGAATTCTTATCATCCAGAGATTTATCGTAGCTTGGATGTTTTTCTCGCCTTTGATAAAATCATGTAGTCAAGGAAAATGTGGATTCTTAAATGTTTTAGAGTGCGATTAAAATTGCTCTGACTCTTGTATATGAACTTTTAATACTTTCAGAGTAGTTCCTTTTTGTTTTTTGATCTTTCTATCACCTTGTATGGTTTGTTCGAAGATGCCCTAAAATATCTTACTATTCTTTGAGTTAGAATATAAAAGCAGTGGTTTATGTAAAAAGTAGTAGTTGACATTTCTGCTTCGTGTCATAAGACATATTTCGTTAATTGCAAGAAACGACTGTTAGATGAAAAGTGTATGTATGTTTTTTTTTACTTTTTCTATCCTAAAAATATCATATTTCGAATTCCTTCTCATTTCGTATTCGTTCAGACTGAAAAATGAGCCGATCACATATTTTGCTAAGTAGCATTTGATTGACAAGTTTTTTAGATTCAAATGTAGGAGGGTATTACTGTAACTGTTAGGTTGCGTTGGATATGATGAATATCAGTCAGAAATAGGAGATAAACACAAATGGACGTTGATCTTTTCTGTGTTTTCGTGCACACCCACATTCATGCCTAAAACTGCAGGATAACAATGGTGGTGCTATTTACTTATGTTGATGAAGGAAATGCTATACATTTATTCATAAGAATATGTGATCCATAAACTAAAAGTGAATATGTTTTTTTTTGTCGATAAATTCTTCAGAACTTTTGTAAGTTTTCTTTTAGAAAAGGATCATCGAATCCATAGGATGAGCGTTACCTTGTATTAATAATCTAATATGTTATTTGTTTGATCTATTAATCGTAATCTTGTAGAGATATCAATAGAATTCAATTGAAAATGTTTGTTTAGATAAAATGTATGAAATAATCTATTAATATATAGACAAATCAATACTAAACTCAAACAAAAATAAATACTATTTATTTTTCTGTTATAGAAGCCTACAAATCTTTTTGAAGAAAAAGAAAAACTTTTAAATGAAAGAGATAGCTTAGTGGTTTTCATTGATATTAGTCGATTAATTACAATAATGAATGAATATGAATCAATCGAACTACTTCCTTCAAAACTTATATTGGTTGGAAAAATTTCAGCTAGAATTAAAAAATAAAGACAAAAAATGAAAAAGTTCAAAAATAAATAAATTGACTAATTTACAGAAAAAAACATTTATTTATGGATAAGGTTAGTTTTTAAATGAATATGCCAACTAATAAATATATTTATTTCCTCATCTAAGTAGATAAATTTAAATAAAAAAATAATATCAACGAATGGAATATTTCGTAACAAACTTGTATATGATTCCTGTTAAGTACACAAATAATTAATCATGTTTAATTCTTAATCATATTAAATAAAATTAACGATATTGCAATATATAATCCGAAGATCATTTATCGTAAGTATATATTTTACATAGAAGTGTTCTTCATTCATTTGTTCTCTTCAAATTCAATTATTAATATTATGTTTAACATCTTTAAAACTTTTTGTTATAATTCATTCATATAGAATTTACCTAAGAACCAATGTGGTTTTCATCTAAACATGATTTCAATATTAATTTAAGCTTCATCTGAGAAAATAATTGAAATTTCTTTGAAATCAATCATTATGTCAAATATTTTCTTACAAGAAGGATTTGTTTTCATTTGTACATTTATATGATATTACATTATAAATAAAAATTCTTATTTTTTTCCACTAAATAAGCAAATAAACTGACTCAGACAATAAAGATAAATTGATATTTATATGTCATTGAAAACATTCATCAATACAATTAAATATTGTGCATTCGTGTTCATATATTTTGAAGATCAATATGTGTTCTTTTGATATACATCTACATCCTATATATTCTATTTTATCTCATAGTCATGCTATCTAAAATTAACTTTCATAAAAATATTTTTTAATCTTCTGTGTGCCTACATATGAAGTGATTTTCTTGAGTATGTTTTAAACAATCATTGACGAAATAATTATCTGATTTAGTTTGTAGTACTAGTGAAACATATTTTAATGTGATTAGGGGATAAGGATGTGATATTATAAAGATTATTTTGCCAATGATTGCAACTACTAGCTTATGCTGAATCATTCAGTAAAAAACTAATTTTCATTCGCAAATTTTCATGAGGACAATGATTTGAATTTAACATCAGTCTCCAACTTGAGGGTGTGGGTGTGTCTTTCCTCTATTCACATCCACACCCACACCCACAATGAATGACCTATGTAGAGTAAAAATGAGAAGAAGTAATAGATACTAATCATGCATAGAAATCATAGCTATTCGTTTACTGTTTCGCGTAAAAAATGAGAATGCAAACGCTGAAGTCATTATTCTTGTCCTTACAGTCCTTAGCTTTCATCAATTAAAATTTATGCTTGATCAGTCGATTTTGATGATGTATCTAATTCATAATAAGTATCTTGATCTTGAAGACCTATATTTGTAAAATAATAATATTTTCATTTGGCTGTTTTGATGGACATGAATATCTTGAAATATTAAATATTTCTTTAAGTTGTTGTTCAAAAAAATGTTGTTCGATAAAAAATCTTATCTAAATAAATTTGACTAATTACATTTTGATCTGAAACAAATTGAGTTGTTTCTTGAGAATCAGAATTTTCAAGTAAAGAATATGAATAATTAATGATAATAGGTGATGAAGATTTCTCATCATATGAAACTGAGATAGATGGCTTGATCACGACTATTGATAGATGAATAATAATAGATAACATATGAAATAAGATGAAAAATTTTTTATGATAACCAAAGATAAATAAAAGTTTACATGATGATCAATACGAAAAGTTATATTTAAGCATAACGAAAGAAAAAACACATATCTGACTATGATAATGAATGTGAAAAAGAAAGAAAAATTTAAAGTTTAGACAATGACATTCAACAACATGGACAGAAAATTATCAGTTTATGTTTGTTATTGTCATTTAGCAAAAAGTTGGTTTATAGCATTCTTATATTGTTCATCGGTAATGAGATGTGCTAGCCAATCATTCATAAGTTTGATCATTTGTACTTTTCGTTCAGTTTGTGGAACCTATAAAAAAAAATATATAATTAGTTAAGATGGCAAATATAAAACCTATTGCTTGATCAATAACTACCTCTTTTTCTGACATATCCGACTTATTTCCTAGATTGTATAGTTAGATATATAAATGCTTCACGATAACAATGAGAAATGTCAAAAGAAGACGGTGATATTTATAGAATAGAATATGATCAGAAACAGACTAGACGAATTCAACAATGTGAATTAAGAGATGTGATTGATGTTTCTACGTAATAACAACACTAATCACCTTTATTAATTCACTTTTGATTCGTCTAGTCTGTTTCAGTCAATATGTATAATGACACGATAGTCAATGATGATCATATTTTTATTAACAATTTTCTTTCTATTATGCATTGCCTAATGGCGAGGAAAAAAACATTCAGATAATGAAATTTTTCTTTTCTAAAAAAAACCTATGTAGTTGAACTTGTTCAGTTCAAAAAAGCATAGCTTGCGCTAGGTTTTAGTCGAAAAGAGAAGAAAGTCTCATAAACTCAGGGAGAAAACATTCATCAATTTAAAACATTTCCCAACTTTCTCGATAGTCTTATCACGAACTTGAGATTGTTGAAGTGGATCAGCTGTTGTATTATCATACTGCAATTGTTGTTGAGGAATAAAATCACCTGGATATGTGCTTGCTGTTGCATGACGATTTTGTTCCAATTGTTGAGAAATAAAATCACGTGGAATTGTACCTGTTGTCGCACGATTTGGTTGAAATTGTTGTTGAGGAATAAAACCATGTGGAGTTGTACTTGTCATTGCACGATTTTGTTCCAATTGTTGAGGAATAAAATCACGTGGAATTGTACCCGATGCTGGATGATCTGGTTGAAATCGTCGTTGAGAAGCAAGACGACGTGAATCTGTACTAGCTGTTCAAGCATCAAATTCAAAACGTGGTGTACCAGTATTAGCAGTTTCATCACCATCATCATCATCATCATCATCATCATCATCATCATCATCATCATCATCCTAAACGATACAAAAAATATTCAAACACTTTTTTATTAAAGTTTTTTAAGCAATTATATTACTTCATTATCTGATATATTGGCAAGTGGTTGATCATTAAGAGCCTTTTGACAACCTTCTCTCTTCCGAACTAAACGAACGAATTCCGAGTAATGATATTTTCGTACATGCTTCAACCAATCATCTCTTTCTGTCGTATTAAAAACAGTACATTGATTGCATATGAGTTGACCATGTACTAAAAAAACTATAATTTTATGAATTGTTAACGATACATGTCTGAAGTAGAAATTGATCGATCTTTTCATTTGAATACGCATATCTGATGTTTCTCATTTTGGATAAAGACTAGAATTAGTGGTAATTGTCACTCAAAATCAAGTATATTTCTTGCAAAAATGGTGATAAATGACTCTTATTTCGTTTTTATTATATTTTGAATCTTATGTAACTTACCATCCATTGTTAGATCATACCCTTCAAATAATTTCTTGATGCGTTTGGTTAAATTAATCATCTAAAGAAAAATTTCGTATTGATGATTTATATCGATTACTTCATATAGCGGTTAAGCTAATTAAAATATGAAACGATTAGGCCATTGAAGACATGTAGATTTATTTATAATAAAAACAAATTTAACAGTGTGATGAAAATAAGTTTATTAAATTAAAAAAGAAAAGTTAACAATTACTTAAGGTAATTGGCGGAAGTGACAGTGCTACTTGTTCATATGCATTATACATACATTTTTCAAGGACTTCAGTTAATTCTAATAAAAGACGATTATCACTTATTTTTAACCGTTGAAAGAAGTATATCACTTGATGATAATGATGATGTTACGAAAAAGTTTGTTGTGGATGATGATATTGAAGAATGATTAATTTTTTCTGATATAGATGTTTCTACTTTTTTTTGATATTGTTATCAATGGACTAAGAAAAAAACTAAGGTTTCTCTACAACAAGTTATTGTTGATAAAACGTTCGACTCTTCTGAAAAATATAAAAGAAGTTTTGTATTTTACCTTCGAGTGCTATAGAATGTTTCGTGTAATTTTCGAAATGATATTTTTAATTCATTCATTACACAAAATTAGACACATTTCCATATAGTCTAAAAATAGATCTAGAATTTGATTAAAAACAGGTATTTTTGTGTATAAATTTTTAATATACCAAATCAATACATTATGGTCAAAATTTAGTAATCATTTATAACTTAATAAACAATGTTGATCTCCAGATAGTTAGTCTTCTTTGAAGATATACCAGGAATCCCAAAATGCTTGCACACTTTTTATTTTTTATATATATCTCAACATGAATAAATGATAAAGTTTTGATTTTTTTTCAAAAGATGTACGGTCGAAAGTTCTACAAAAGCTGTGCGAACAAATCTATATTGACTTGCTCTGATGGTTTTTCTCGATGATTAATAGTGATGGTCTCTCATGACGTTGCTACCAGATGTTCCAAAATGTGTACAACATAGTTTGTTTTGCGAATATCTCTGCATAGACAAATGATAAAATCCTGGGTGTGGGTGGGTGTGGGTGTGGCTGTGAGTGTGGGTGTGGGTATGGGTGTGGGTGTGGGTGTGGGTATGGGTGTGGCTGTGGCTGTGGGTGTGAACGTGGGTGTGGGTGTGGGTGTGGGTGTGGGTGGATGTGGATGAAGCAAATAGCAACATCGACGTCCATACCCACACCCAACCACACCCACACCCGCACCCACACCCACACCCACACCCACACCCACACCCACACCCACACGCACACCCACACCCAACCACACCCACATTCACACCCACACCCACACCCACACCCACCCACACCCACACCCACACCCACCCACAGCCATACCCACACCACCCACACCCGCACCCACACCCACACCCACAACATTTATTTTAGATGGAAAATCATATCTTGTTAGCATTTGTCCACAATTATTATCGTGAAAAATATAATTCTACATGGGAAAGCTTATTTTCGGTTTATCATTGGGCTTTGTTGTCTAAAAAAATTTGTTGTTGCTGGTGAAAATTGTGTAAGATATATTTTTTTTACTGCACATAATTTCATGTATTTTTTTTAGCATGCCGAATGTTTTAAATATGAACAAATCAATAACGAAGTTTGCATCGACTATATACATAAAGAAAAATTATTTATGTTGTCTACTATTTTAAAAAAAGGCAACGATAATTTAAACATAACGTTTAAAGTAAGAATTAATAATATCGATTTTTATACTATATTTTTATTATTAGGTTTCTCCCGGTGTAAATCATACATTTCCTGCACCAATAGGTCGACATGTCACAGGAAAAGAGTAACATCTAAAAAAATGAGATATTAATATATGATGACGATTTTCTTTTTTCCAGTGATTTTCATCATTTATCAAAATTCGTCGAATTACTTAATTATAAAGTTGATGCTGTACTTTCATATAAATCTTCAGCTCAGCGACTTTCAAATGAAACTGGTCGTCGGGGTGTGGGTGAATGTGAGTGTAGGTGTTTCGTCAATTTACTTGAACACCCACACCCACCCACACACCCACACCCTACACCCACACCCTCACCCCACACCCACATCCCACACCCACACCCCACACCCACACCCCACACCCACACACATCCACACTCTTTTCAATCGACTGAAATATTGGTGCCTGAAAATTCAAAATTTGATCATAGTATTACTTTAGTTTCATATTATGTTTTGTCTGTTTTAAATAATTTATGATGAAAAAAAATCTTTTATTCTTTTCTGTAATAAACTATAAAAAAATGCACAATAAAGAGCATCATTACTATATGAGTAGATGGAAATCCTTGATAATGTATTGATGGATTAAGAAATATGTTTCTAATCAAAGACAAAGATTTAGTTCAACTATAAAAAGTTTCAAGTTAATACTAACTATACTTCTTGCTTTTTATTGTCATCTTTTTTATCAACATGATCATCACCATAGTGCTTATTTTCAATAGAAGACCTTTAAGAAAAAATGATGGAATTATGATATTATCAAAAGAAATCAATGAACTATTCTTACCAATCGATGTTTGAAAGTGCTGTAGTTACATCAAATAAAGGCTGTGTTGGTATTGAAGATAATGATTTATCCAACATTTCAAGAACCGTAGGTTCATTAGCATATTTAATTTTCATTTTTTCAATGTTTTTATTATAAGTATACCATATAAAATTATTATTGTTGTTGGATCGAATTGAAAAAGTAGAAAATCCGATACATATTCCATCAATCAATTTTCCGAAATCTATTGAAGAAAATCCAAGATCTGACACACAATCGTAATATAACGAAATATCAGATGGATTCACAATATTATTCTGATCGTCTTCGTCCATACCTACAAGATCGAAAGATTATCAAGGATATTTTCAAATTTCATAAAATTCTCACCCATGGCTTCTACTTCATCATGTTCATTCATTGGAAATGAAACGGCATTTAGAATTGTTACGTTGTTCATTAATTTTCTGTATAAATCATGCGAATATGTATATTATCAAAATATTTATTTAATGTATCCAGTGCTTCAGTATCTTTTGTAGCCAATAAGGAACAAGCTTGACGAAGAATATCATTTTCTTTTGCTTGTCCACCACCTACGATTAAATGTAAGTCATTGAGATTTGTTAGCGTCCATCGATGTTACGACATGACGCTAACTTCATATATATGTATTTTGTTTCTTTTCGTTCCTGCAGTATATATACATATATATCTACCAATCTATTGATCATCATGTTCTTATGATGATCATCTCTTTTTCATTGGGTGTGACTGTGTGTGGGTGTGGGTGTGCGTGTGGGTGTGGGGGTGTGGGGTGTGGGTGTGCGTGTGGGTGTGGGTGTGGATGTGGGTGCAGATGATTACTTTCCCTATGCCCATACCTACAAGTAGTCCCACAATTAAAATCACACCCATACCCACACTCCACACCTCCGCCCACACCCACACCCACACCCCACCCTACACCCTACCCGGTTATGTCTTGAAAATGAACATTTAATAGTTCGAAACGTCGAAATAATCTAGAAATAAAAGAATAATTGATTGAAAAATTTTCGCCACTCACTTATTTTATTTGAAACTAAACTTATTTTGTAAGTTCTATTCGTTTCAATCTCATCTAAATATTTTAATATTCTACCACACCAAATATTAATTATGTCGATAGAAAGGTAGACTTATGAAAAAAATTTCCTATCTCCACTTTAAACTAGTTTTTAACATAATTTTTTTTTATAAATTTTTATTGAGAACAAACCAATGAATAGACATTAAATTCTGATAGATTCTCTACTATATCTGAACAATTATTCAAATCATTAGAGACCATGAAGATTCAAAAGAATCTTCAGATTGAATCAGAGTACGAAAGAATTTCCCGTGATCCTTCTTTTTCAATGAAAACTAATAATAACCGTATGCGAAAAACCTTTCGGTAAAGACAGTATCTCATATAAAATCAATTTACCGTAAAAATCAATCGTTGGTTCATGGCTTTCAGTTGTTGGATTATCATCAGCCATTTGATTACTTGTTTGAATAGATAACGATTGAGTAGTTTCTTTATCTAAAATGTTCACCGTAAAAAAAATTAAAATAAGAAAATAACTTGTGTTATGATTTATAATGATTAATTGAAAATATTCTACTTAACGAGCGAATTGCTAGATCATATATTGCTCCTAATTTTCTTTCGTTTAATCTTTAAACCAGATAACGTATATTTTTCCTTCATAAAGCAATCAGGTCTACTTCCTAACAGTTCAAACAACTGGCATAGAAACGGAAGAAACTGTTTATGCATCAGTAGCTGCATCATACGAGTTCGAATATGAACCCGAGATAAACTGATTCCAAGAGTGACATAGTCTTTCATCATATTGACACCGATACTATAAGGGAACGAAATTCACTGAACAACCTTCTCTCTGCTTGTGGATGTATTTTAAGTTATATATCGTGTTTATGTGTTAGAAATTTTGATAAGTTTTGTATTCATCTGGTTATTTCTTTTATTGAACAAGCTACTTGAGGGTGTGGGTAGGTATGGGTGTGGATGTGGGTGTGGAGGGTGTGATGGTGTGGGTGTGGAGGGTGTGTGTGTGGGCGTGGGTGGGGTTGTGGGTGGGTGTTGATGTGTGGTGGGGGTGTGAGTAAAGAAAAGATGTATACCAACACCCACACTCACACCCACACCCACATCCACACCCACACCCACCCACACCCACACCCACATCCACACCCACACCCACCCACATCCACCACCCACACCCACACCCACACCCTTTGACACATGGTATGTGACACGTGTTAGAATAAGTTTTAAATGACCTCTGTCTTAATATCCTCTTGATTTCATAGCAATCTCCTCCTCCTTTCATTATCATTAATCAAGAAATTAAACAAGTTACACATCATCGAAGAAACACTTCTTATTGATGTCAATCGTCATTTTTTTTAAAAACCAATAAGATCATGCGAAATCTAAAATAAGATCTAGACATAAAATATTTTTTTTGTATACGTCACTATACTAATGTACTTCTTACTGCAGTAGTTCCTAATTTCACATGTAAATAGATGATCCTATTCATAGTTATGAATGCCTATTAACTATGCTGTCTTTACCTTCCTCCTCTTTTTCATTTTTTTTTGGGAAAAATTGGACTTTAAAGGAAAATAGTCGATAATGTTGACTTATTTCGATGAATCAACACGCTTATATCTAATAAGGTTGAAAATGGACCTTGAGTACGGATTGAGAGAATCAAATAGACACTAATTCCAATCCGGAACATTTTTTAGTAAATTATTTTTGTTTAGTATTCCATCGGAATAGCTAAGATCAATATTTATTGAAGTCGAAATTTAGAAATACTAAATTAAATTGCGATAGACTTATGTACGTGCAAACATAAAAGTTTGAAAATAAGTTACTTGAGTGGAACAAGAAGGCAGCTTCGAGTATAAACTTGAACACGATGTTCGACAATTTAAATTCAAGAATCTCGACTGCAGAACTGCGGAATTTGCCATCAAAGTGATCACATCTGCTCGGACGTGGAAATCGTTTCCAAGACGTAGCCGATTAGAAAAAGCAGCAAAACATGATTTTTTCCGATAAGGCTCCGACAATTTCGCTAGCAAAAGAAAGTTTCTGAAATGCTCATTCACACGCAGCGGTAGGTTCTGGATCTCTGGTCGTCTCGAAGATGAATTAGTGATAATCTCTAACAAGTTTTGTAAAAACTTGCTGCATCATGTAATTTTAAAGAGGTACAGTTTTCTTACTCTTGGAAGAGTTTTATGAAACATTGTCAAAACCGAACTGTAGTCTATTCAAGATTGAAATTATTTCAAGTATAATTTTTCTTTTATATTACTCAATTTTAATTGAATTACGAGTTATATTAAGTCTTTCTCATTGATCAGAATTAGTGTTCTCAGAAAGGACTTCCGATAACGCGGTAAAAATTCTTCTCACAGATTTGAGAAACGAATTTTGAAAACTTTGTTTTAAATTGAATTTGTGGTCTTTTCTTGTCTTATAGATATGTACATTCTACCTAGCCATTTTTTGTTTATGTAAGCTCTTTATGCTCTCTTGTTTTTATAAGTTGAATACATTCTGAATATTCGGTGTACTAAAAATGAGATCTAAAATTTAAAAAAGAAACATTTTTCAAAAGAAAAAATATTATTCAAATCACGATTAGATAGATACTACTAAAAGTATATGTCATATTACAAAAAGGGGTAATCCTTTTTCGTCCCTAATTTTTTTACGGACATCCGGCAGAGCAATTCGTTCCGAACTTCAATTTCTTTGAAAAAGTCCGGATGTTCGGAATGAAACGTCCGGAAGATCGGAATGAAAACACCGGATGTTCGGGATGAAAGTCTGTCAGGTGTTCGGAATCGAATAAAACAAGGTTTTTTCGCGATTTTGTCTTAAAAAATGTATGGATGTTCGTAATAGTGAGTGGCGGATGTTCGTAACAGAAAAGAATGACCATTATGTGAATCGGCAAATCAATTAAGTATGTTGCGTGAATCATCATCTTAGCCAATCATGTTCAAGATGCTAGCCACTGTTCAACAGAGGAATTTTTATTTTTACTACTCGTTTATATTATTTATCTGTAAGATGCATCGCTTGCTACTGAATTCTGCATTACTTTACAAAACTCTAACTGAATTTACAAGAAGATGTCGCTATACTCCACGGCTTAAAATATACTATATGAGCGAGTCCTTTTCTTTTCTATGTTAAAAAAGACACCAAAATTCATTCCGAACATCCGTCATTTTTTGTTCCGAACACCCGTTACTTTCTGTTCCAAACAGCCGGCACATTCTGTTCAGAACATCCTGTATTTTTCATTCCGAACACCTGGCACGTTTTGATTCCGAACATCCGACAAACGATTTAATGCTCTATACCTCCACTCCGAACATTCGGACAACTAACTGGATGTCCGGAAGAGTAGGGACGAAAAAGGACAAACACTACAAAAAAAAGACGAGTTAGTGATGATATTGTGAAAAATACGTGTTTTTTTGAACGCGTTTAGACGCATTGAAAATATAGGTGAGTATGGAATATGTCTATATGTGAAAGGAATCTGAACACCATTGTTCATTGAAACGCATTTGATTAGCTCCGACAAGGTGATACAAACTTATGTAAAGCGAAGTATTAATTGAAACACGATAAAACACATTCTCAAACGATTGATATGAAAAAATATTCATATCTGAAAGACATCTAAACCCAACTATTCATTGAGACGCATTTGAACGCATTTCTTTATTATGCTTTGATAAACACGTTCAAACACATTGAGAAACATGTTTAGATAAGTTTTATCTGCATTTGGAAGTAACATATGTAATGGTTTAAACAACACTTCAACGTTTCTATGTCGATTGATTAGTCCTTTGTTGCTATCGTGTGGTCTGTGTCAACCTATCTTGAAATTTTTTGTTTCTCAATACGGGTGTGCTTATATTTTGGGAGCACACTCTCCTTTTCTAATCGCTAATTTTTCGAACTAGTTTCAAAGAAACAAATATCGAGTATGGGTTCATCCGAATCTTATGGCATCAATGATGTTATACTATAATATTT